GCGAGGTCCTAACGGCAGTTAAGTTGGCCGTAAGAAGAAGGGCTAAATTGCACCGATCGCAGAGTTCAGGGGCTTATCTGCTTCAATTAAAGTCTGGGGGCTTAATTGCGATTCTGGGATCGGTTCAGGGGCTTAACTTATGGTTTTGCCTAGTGATTAATGATCAATTCACTCGCAAATTGAAAAAGTTGTTCCTAGAGGGTTTTTTTTTTCTTTTTCTCAGAATATCCAAATTCACCCTATAATGATAGGAATTGATTCACTTTGAATAAAAAATAGAGATAAATTCACTTATAGAGTTTTTGATTTAAATAAATCATCTCAAATTTAACGTGTGAAGTTATTTGACATCAGTAATTTTTTAATTTGACATCAACAATTCGTTAATGAATTAACGAAATTGTTGATGTTAGATGATGCTACACATTAAATTAGGGTGAATCTATTCAAATTAAAAATTTTGTAGGTAGATTTGTCTCTTTTTTTTTATTTAGGGTGAATCCACCCTTACCATTATACTTTGGAGGTGAACTTGAGTATTTTACTTTTTTTTTTTCTCGTATAACTAATTGAAAATTTTTAATTTTGTTGATAAATTAAATTAAATTAATTTAATTATTATTTTTGCCACCACATAAAATTACTTATTGTATGTCAATTTTTAAAAGACAAAATTTAAGTCTAAATCACAGATTTGTTGAGTTTAGGAATTAAGACCATCTAATAGTTTTTTTTTAAGAAAAGTAAAAAATACACTAAAAATTACATTTAGACTTTTGTATCCAATGGCTTCAGATCACATTAATGTGCATCCCCTTTCTTCATACAACTATTCGAATCCGGCTCCATATGCAAAATTGTAAAAAAAAAAAAAAAAAAGCATTAAAAACCAAAAACAACATACAGACATGTCCCAGCCTAAACCGTACAATAGTTAAGAGACCAATTTGAGCTTTAACAGTTTTTTTGTTTCTTCTTTCCGTGTTTATACTTTCACTTAAAGATGGAAGAACTCATTCGCAGGCAAGTTTTGTGATCTAACTTTTGCCATTATCGAAACTGATGTCATTTTTGGGTACTCCCATGGAAGAAGATAAACGAGAGCAGAATTTGCCAACTCAGACCTAAATTAGGTGATTGAGGATGATTTTGAGGTGGCAAGGTTGAGTGAGGAGATTGGGAATTGGGCGAATGTGGATGATTTTGATTATCCAATTGGTCTTTGTTGCCAAAGAATGAGAGGGTTAAGAAAGGTTTACGTTGCCAAATTGAAGGCAATTAAAGTGAGAGCAATCGGTTTTCTTGAGTTGTTTTAAGTTCAGGTAGTGTTTCTGCTCATATATGATACTAATATTTGGTGGACATGGTTCGTGTTTTTGGCTTCATTTTCTTGGAATGGAAATCGTAGTGCAAACAAGCATTTGTTCTCGTCATTTGTGTTGTGTTGTTATTTCTTAGCTCTTTAATGAATGGGTTTATGTATGTCCAATGTTTTTGAATAGATGATGTGCGTGGGTGGTCATCTGTCTTATTAAACCCCTGCTGAATTGAAAATGGAATAATGGTTTCATAATTTTTATTTTTTTTATATGGTGACCCATTCTTTATAGATCTACTTTCAATAACCTTGTTTATGTGGGCATCACCATCTTGCTTATAATATTTCATGATTGAAAATTATGGCCATAACTAAAAGAAGTTAAGGATGTTGCGGATGTCTGCTTATGTATTATCAGAGTTAAGAAGTATCCTGCAGAACTATTTTTGCATTTAAAGCCACAACCTATTATATGATGTTTAAAAGTTTTGTCTATTGATCTTTAATTGAGTGCTTTGTTTTTGTTTTCGTAATATTTGGAAGCCTTACCCTTTTCTTTCCTTTGGTGTGACGAAGTTGCTCCCTACAATGAAATATAAAATCTGGGGATGTCTTAAGTAGAAGTTATAGGTAAAATGGACATTGGTTGAGGAAGTGAAAATGGAAAAAAAGAAAGGACAGTGTTTTCTCCTCATTTTTGTTTGAAATTTTTGAATCAAACTGACACATGAGGCTGATCTCTTTGGCTACTGAAATGTTTTGTTTAACTTAAGTCTAAAAATTTAGGTTTCTTCCACTATCTTTCTTGGAATTGCATGGACTATTCATAGACCTATAGATTAAAGTAGTTGATAGTTTACCTTTCATATTTCTCTATTTAACTAGTTTCACAATCTAAATAGTCCTTGTGCTAGAGGTTCAAGAAAAATAATTGGTTTAAGTAAAAAATGCAGGCTGTCCTTCACATTTCTTTGACCAGAACCATCTGATTGTTGATTCTCATGCTTACCTGGACTCAAGATATGTCTACTTTCGGCTCTCGCAGTACATATAGTTAGTGGCAGTACAATTCCAGACTGTTGGTGAAGGACATTCAAAGATGCATTTAAATAATTTGCATCTCTTAGAATTTTCTATTCTACTGTAGAAAGTTTGGATGAAATAGGCATGGAGGCATGCCAAAATGAATAAATGATGTAAAAGGTAGTCAAGTGGTACTTTTCTCTGTTCTATGTCTCTTCAACTTTTGGAACCTAAAAGAAAATAAATCCTCTCTCAAGTCTTGACAGAAAATATGTCTGATATTGAGGCTCAGAGGTCTTTGTAATTTTGTAGGGCAACCAAGTATGAAAAAAATCAATTTCTGTATATGATGATTTGGCATCTCTACTTGTGACATATATGTTCAATATTTTAATCTTGTAAGGATAGGCCTTCATAACAGTATCCTTTGTTGCTAGATTCTTGCAGTTGCTTATGTTTGGCATAGTATGTCTGTTTGGGACGCAATATTTCTACCCATTACAAGAAAAAGCAAAAAATCATTACTGCAAGGCTCACAACATTAGAGAAAGATGATGTGCTTAAGACACTATGAGGGTACTAGAGCCACTTCAGAAATGTGCAAACTATTGTTCCTTTACAATTTGGGATATTCTGATTTCTACTAGCAGCCATGAAGGTGTGAACTACAATGAAAGCCAGATTATGTTTTTCCCTAAGATCTTAAATGGTGGTTTTGTATATTCAATGACAAAGCTTGAAGGAGAAATATGCACGTACCTTAGTTGTAGTCAAAACTGAACCCCAGTTATATCTGTCTCTCAACTCAAAGCATTTCAGGCCTTTACTGCATGTTGTAGTTGTGGAACAAGCATGATACTATGAGAGTTCATGTTTAACAACGAAACCATGTACCAATTATTGTCCATTGCGCCTATGAGATCGATTCTACAAACTGGGGAATTTGGCCGCTTCCTAGATCAGGTATCTCTTCTGCATGACTTTTTTACCACTCTGCTACCTATGTTATTGTTTTTGTTTTTAATAAGTACCTAGGTTATTGTTTATATTAGCTAAAGTGATCATTCCCAAGCTAATGGTGCCCATGTGATTTTACAAAACAGACTGATCATGAGTTTGTTGACTTCATTGTCTGCATCAGCAATAAATACAAAATAAGGGATCTTACTAATCTTACTAAAAGCATTCCAACTAAAAATTGGATGTTTGACAATGCATGAGTGGCTTGCCAGAATTTATTACCAAATAAGGTCTTACGGAAGAAAAATCATTCTCTGAGGTTTTTATCGAGTCCTAAGTTTCATGTTGGCATATGTGCAAGTATGATAATGAAACATGCTTTTTCATCAAATATTTAATGATTTCTCTCTTAACATTGTCAAAACAGGGATTTTTTCCCCCATCAATATTCATTGTCAAAACAGGTTGGCAACATCAATCTTTTTGCAGTTCCCACCTCTTGAAGATCTGCGTTTCGGCTTGGCACCCAATGGAAGTCATAACTTTTAGTCCTATCTTAAAGATGGTCAACTTTCTAGCTTAAAAACAGTTGTCTTTTACAATACCAGTATACACTAGGCATCATTCTTGCTTTTTGTGAACACTCCTTTTGATATGTTTGTCTTTTGAAAGCATGATGAAAGACAGTGGGAGGCTATTCTTACTTTTATCAATTTTAAGCTTTCATGTACGGATGGATCTTCTCTGTGTCTTCATACGCTGAACTGTTACTGGGATTTAAGATTGTGGTACTGATTTACAAGCAGAGATATAGCAAGTATTTGTGAAGGTTCTGATTTCTGATGATAACTTGACTCTTACATTTTATTCAAGTTGTTCTGAAAAAAACAAATATTCTTACCTACCTACCCCCACCATGTGATCTTTATTACCCTTTCAGGACTTGGTATAGATTCCTTATGACCATATCCAATGTTTAGGAGTGGACCATAAGATGATGTTTCTCTATATCCTACTCCAACCATGTGACCCACTTTTTGCATGGAACGTTTTTCTTAGCTGTTGACTTGATTCTCTTGTATCATATCCAAACAATTGTGATTTCTTGAAAAAACCCTTTTCTCTCCTTTGATAATTAGTCCCTTCTTGCGACAATACATGTCACATTTGCAGGTTCTCCTGCATTCTAATTCATATTTATTCCCATCTTACTGTCTCTACACTTTCTGCATATTTGAATGGTGGTGTGTATTCGCAAGATTGGCCTAATTTCTAAGGTATGCTCTGAGATTTCTTCTATTTTGGTTGCTGTTATCAACCATTGAATAGCATGTTATAACTTAGTCTTTGTATCTTGATTTGTACAGCTTTATTTTTGTATATCATCAAAGGAAGTTAGTGGCTAGTTATTGCAGGGAGTTGGACCCTTAATTTTAATCCCAGAATTAAGGTTATTTATTTAGTGGGTATCAACTTAACTAAACTCTTTTTGATTTACATTTATATTGTTTAGCTTAATTATGGAATATCTATGCAAGTTTCGTTCGTGGATGGGGCTAATCCAGGCACGGCTTAGTTGGTGGGGACTTTTCTACTTGATTATAGCCTCAAGCTTTCCTAGATGCATGTATGTCCTCTTGGTCCCTAGAATCTGTCAGGTGCACTTCTCTACCTAATGGTTGGTACCTGAGAAGATGTTTGGAATATAGTTTTTATGATCATCTATAGAACTCAATCAGATTTATTACAACTCACAGTAAACGGATTAGATCCAAGAAATTAGAGATAATTGGTAGGGCACTCGGTTTTTATTTATTTATTTAATGGAAAATAACATGCTTTTATCAACTCTAGATAATGCCATTTAACAATTTGACTTGCTTAAAACTTAGATTGACCCAAACTAGATTGCTCAGGTTTTCACAAGCTGGGCTCAATGTACTAGGAATTGGGCTGCTGTTGACCCAAGATAGAATAATGTGGGCCACAGCCCTCTAGATTGATGGAAGATTTTGAAATGGTTTGAGTCCATGATAGGTTTCCTTGATTTATCTGATGTGGTTTTTACAAATTGGAATTGGGCACAGCCGCTAAGCTATTCATTCTAGCAAGGCCCAGTTTCATTTTTCTTTTTTCCTTTTCCTTTGTCATTAACATAGATAGGTCTAGTTTTGATACAAAAACATTTTTGACAAATTTTGGATAGCAGCACTTTCAAGCAAGAATTGTTGTCAAAATTTTGTTAGTTTTAAAATGAAATCCTAAATAAGTTTTCTATAAATGTTTGAAATATTTTAATAAAAAAATACTTATTAATTTAGACTCTTAAAAATTATGAATGCAATAATGTTCTTCGTATTGTGTATGTGTGGGCTCATAGGACATGTGAGTTTTAAAAGGACATTATTTTGGGTTGAGATTCCTATTTCACAATAACATTGTTGTTTTGTATGTGTCTAGACTGACATGCACCATACTCATGTTATCAAGTTGAGAATTTTGAGAATTCATTTCATTAATATTTTCTTTTTACCATCAAGCATTTAGTAAGAAACTTTATCTTTTTCGGGCCAAAAAAAATAAAAACCATAATTGTTCTTAGCCTTCTTACTCTTCAAAGAGAAAGTTCCCCAGGATACAACAGATGTGGTATCCCAAGCCAATTCAAAAACACCACATCAGCTGTTTTTCACACTTTATCAATTACGAACAGAAAAAAAAAAAAAGCTGATGTGTTGTTTTTGGATTTACTTGGGATACCACTGTATCCTGAGGATACAACAGACTTTCTTCTCTTCTAACCAAAACTTGTTGCAGTCTTATTACCATTTTTAGCATTGCATACCTGTTCATGATGCTAAATATGATCATTTTAGAAAATTAGAAATAGAGCTTAATTTTAATAATTGTTCCACGCTCAAGCAACACATTTGTTGTTATCTAATTAACACCTCTTCTAACAGAATTAAATTTGAAAAGAAAGAATGAGAGAGAATGCTGGAGAGAGAGA